CTCCTGGGCCCAGCTGGGAGGCTGGGAGGGACGGGCAAGGAAGAGAACGAAGTACCGAGGAGGTGGGGACAGAGGAAGAGGAAGGAAAGAAAACCAGGTGATGAATCAGCCTTCGTTACCACCCCCCTTTCAGATGCCGTCTAGGCTGAGATCTTGGCAGCCAGCCTCCCTGTGGCTTCCACCGCTCTGCAGCTGCCTCCATTGGCTGCTGGGAGTGGCAGCAATGATTCCTTGGAATTTATTTCTTGCAGATCCTATCATTAGGAGCAGGGGGTATGGAATAGAGGAGGTGAAGAGCACACGGTCTTCAACACGCATCAGAGAGGACTGGCACCTACCAAAAGAGGTTGGGAGGAGGAACTGGGAGAGAGACAGGGGTGAGAGGTGCCCTAAGCACCCTGGCCTGAGAGGAGAGGGGTGGATCATTGTGCCTCTCATTCCACCACGGGCCCCTGCATTCCCACCATTCTTCATGGGGATGGTATGGAAATGATGCCAGCAGCCTCCAAAGGCGGGTGTGCTCAGGCTGGAGCCGGCTTTGTCCTTGCTGGGTGTTCGCCCCAGGCCAAGTCACTTAACCTCTCTGGGCCATTGTTTCCTCATCTGGAAATTGGAAATGGTTATACAAGGACCTACTTTCATTTGTCTTTCTAAAATAATAGAGCCCACGCATTTTCAGGCTGCTGAAGAGAGCTTTGTTATGAACCTGAAGTGCCATCATTTGTTATAAGTGGGTACGCATAGGGAGCTGGGAGATGGCCAGAAGCATAAGGGCCTGTGCCTTCCAGGACTCTGCGTCCCTGCACACGGCGTTCCCTCCCCCTGGAACCCGGCCACCCCTGCCCAGCTACTTCCATTCTCTCCTGCGGGTCTTGAGGTAGATGACCTACCTGAGAAGCCTACCCTGACCCTCCAGGCTGGGGCAAGTGCCACTTTGACCCTCACCTGTGCCCCCCATCCCAGCCCTAGTCTCCCTGACTCTGCCTTGTTACTGTCCATTCCCTCCACTAGACTGGGTGCCACACGGGGGCAGGGGCTGGGTCTGTCTTGGTCCTTGCTGTGTCCAGGGTACCCAGCACAGGCTTTGACAAGGAGGGGGTCAGCACATACGGTCACGCAGACAAACGTTTGGAGCTGTGACCCACACGTGGGGAAGTGGGGCCAGCGGAATGCAGAACTGGAAGGCAGAGCCATTTGAAAGTGGAAAGGACTGTCTCGGGTGCAGGAGTGAGCTCCTCAGCGCCACTGGCTCAGTCCACTTCCAGGTGTGTGGCCTGGGCAAGCCACATCCTCTTTCACAAACTCAGTTTCTTCCTCTGGAAAATGGGGGTGTGCAAGGAGTTCGTGCAGGCACCCAGCAGCCCACGTGTACTCAGCAGTCATTTTGGCAGCTGCTATCACCCCTGAGTCCATCCCCAGCACTGAGGCTAGTCACCCCTCCTCTGAGTCTGTTCCCCCACTTAGCCACACTCCCCCTTAGAGCACACGGACGGGCCACTGCCTGGATGGGCAAGGAGGAAGCCTCCATGGGTGTCCACCTACAGCGGCCACCAAGCAAGACCCATGGGGCTGGCACAGGCCAGCCACGCTAAGCTGGGGGTCCTTAGCAGTGCCCAGTGTTCCTGGAGGTTGCTGGAGAAGGGCCCAAGTCTGGCTGTTGGGGGACTGAGGAGGCTGTGATGAAGCTGAGGCCCCTTCTTAGAGGGGGAAGCTTCCTATTTGGGGGCAAGGGCTCTATGAACACCTGTTAGGCACTCACTGGATGCCAGACCAGGCTGCTGGGGCCTTTGCCCATGCTGTTCCAGCCGTCACAATCACTGTTCCTGTTGATGGTGTGGATACCTGCTTGTTCTGCTCAGAGGACCCCGCCTCCAGGAAGCCTCCCAGATTCTCTGGGTTGGGTCAGACACCTCCATTTGGGTTAACATAGTGCCTGAGCTCCTCCCATCACAGCTCTGGTCACCCAGTGTTATAAATGGGCTGTGAGCACGTCACTCAGTTGGTTGACAAATACTGACAGAGCGCTCAGTAGAAGTCAGGCACTATGCATGGCCATTCACGTTTAGGGAACCCTGCAGGGCAGGTGTGTTACTGTCCCCTATTTGCAGATGGGGAAACTGAGGCTCGGAAAGATTTTAATAGTGGAAGGAAACCAGGTAGCCTGGGGCCGGAGCACAGGAGAGTAGTAAGAGCTGTGTTTATTCCCAGTGACAGTGAGCTCACTCTCTCCCCTGGCAGTTTGGTTGGGAGTTTGTCTGGCTGGGGACTCAGGATGTGCTTGCATCCCTGTGGCGCCTGTGACCTTCCAGGAGTCTAAAGGGCAGGCAGTGCTGGCCACCCCGAACATCTGTTCTCTCCTTTTCCATAATAATGGAACCCCTGATTTTCAGCTGGATCGTTGACCACTCAGAATAAAAACTACATTTCCCAGCATCCTTCCAGGAAGTGTGGCCACATGACTAAGTTCTAACTAATGGCTTGTGGACAGGAGTGGTGTGTGGGATTCCTGGGAAGTGTCCTTAAAGGGAGAGGATGAGCCCTCCCTCACCCCTTCTTCCTCACTGACCAGAATCAGACGTGAGGGCTGGAGCTCAAGCAGCTGCATTATCCCATTTGCTGAGAACGTGGAGCAATAAGACAGAAGGAGCCTGGGCTATGGACACCATGGAATCTCCCTGCGACCCCTGAACTGGCTGTTCATGCTCACAAGCAAATAAGCCCCATGTGCTCGAGTGCTCTGATTGGTCAGCCCCCACCACACACGCAAACCACGACGGACGGCCCATCTTTGCTGTCATCAACCCAAAAAGGGAATTAAAACACCTCAGAGGTTTTCAGCTCCAGCAAAGCACAAGGGAAAAACACTTCCTTGTGTGTGAGTAAAAAAAAGGAAACCTCTGAATACAAACATTCCCTTGTGAACTCACCAAGACTAGGCTGCAGGATCCAAATCCCATCATCTCCCACATGCTGTGTGATCCCAGCAAGTGTCTTGGCCTCTCTGGGCCTCGGTTGCTGTAGTTGTAAGAGACCTGGAAGTGTTGCTAGCAGGATTTCCTCTGAGCTACTTAAAGCCCTCCAATGGTTTTATTCAGCACCTCAGGGTAAAAACTGAATTCCTCACCAAGCTTTACAAGGCCGTGCACAACCTACCATCACCTCTTCACCTCGCTCACTCTGCTTCTGCCACATGGGCCTCCTCACTGTTCCTGACACCCCAGGCATGGCCCTGCCCCAGGGCCTTTGCACGTGCTATGCCATGTGATTGGAACACCATTCCTGACGCTCACCTCCTTCTCAGCATTCTAGTCCCAGATCCTTGACTCCCCTGACCACGCTCGCCCCACAGCCAAGCAGGAGCCTCGCTCACAGCCCAGAAGAACCCTTAACATGGCCCGAACCTTCTAAAGGGGGGAGAGGCAAGCTGAGGACTGAAGAAGTACCTTGTCTGCTTGCCATACAATTAAACCACATCTGAGTTTCTCTCTGAATCCAAGTAGAAATTCACAGGAAATAATGGAGATGGAGGAACATGTTAAATGTCACCACAGGGACACCCAGTCGGTAAAACCCAGACTGGGGACATCACTGCAGGGTGAATGACCCAGGCGCTTCAACAAATGGAGTGCAAGGCAAAATTGAGAGAGAGAGAGAGAGAGAGAGAGAGAGAGAGATGGAAGCAAAAGCTCTCCATTGAGAGTCGGGAGCCCAGCAGCCTGAAGACACACACACCATGACCATTCACACTTCCAGGTGTGCCCCGATGGAATTGCTATTTTGGGCATGATACTGGTGTTTGCAGGGTGGTGCTTGTGTTTTAAGAGGTGTTGTCTTAAAGAGCAGGGCCTCTCATCGGGGCTGGTCGGCCTCTCATCGGGGCTGGTTGCCCTCTTTGGGGAGGTCTGTCCTGGTTGCTGCAGGGGTACCCAACCTTTTGGCATCTCTGGGCCACATGGGAAGAAGAGTTGTCTTGGGCCACACATTAAACACACAAACACCAACGAAAACTGATGAGCAAAAAAAAAAAAGGTTTTAAGTAAATTTACAATTTTGTGTTGGGCTGCATTCATAGCTTTCCGGGGCCACATGTGGCCTGCAGGCCGTGGGTTGGACTTCCTGTCAGGGCCGTGAGCGGGTATCCCCAGCTCCCATCCACAAGAGACTAATAGCAGCCCCCAGTGGTGACTACCAAAAATGTCCCAGACGCTGCCGAGTGTCCCTGGGGAAAACATTCCCTCTCCAGCTAAGAACTACTTTCGTGACACAAGCTGAAATACGTACAGATGACATAAACATCTGGAATTTGCCTCAAAAGAGCGAGGGAGGGGGGAGTGAGTGAAAGTGGGGAAGGTATGGGGCGGCCTCCAGGCAATAGCTGTTGCATCTGAGTAATGGGTACAGGCGGGGGGGTCATTATTCTATTCTGCCTACTTTGGATGCGTGGACATTTCCCAGCAGAAAAAGTTGGAATGATGAGGTAAATTCAGACAGGATGTGGACTTCAGTTCCCCGTAAGACACCCAGGTTGCTTTCCCGTTATGACAAACACACCACGCCCATGGGGGCCATGACCATCGGGGAAGCTGGGTGAGGGCACGTGAGAACTCTCTAGAACCTGGGCTACTTATTTAGACCTAAAATTATTTCAAAATAAAAAGTTTATTTTAAAAAAAGTTTAAATGAATAATAAATAAACATATCCAAAATCAGCAGCCCGTGCGCCCAGGATTGGAATGGAGGCCAAATACACACAGCGACCTTGAACGCCCCGCCCCCGCCTAGCCCCAGCCCACACCCTCTCACTCACCTGCAGACGGCCCAGCCAGCCTTGGGCTCTGCAGGGCTTTGTCACATGGGTGGCACAGGGGGCCGGAGGCCCAGGCAGCCCTACAGCAGCCAGGGTGAGAATCTGTTTTCAAACCCATTTTATTCTCTCCAGACTAGAAACACTCATTTCTACCCTACCCACCCCGATCTTCACCAGCCAGGGTCTGCGGGCCTCAGAGCGTGTCTGGGGGCCTCTCTGAGGGCTCCATGGCCTCAGCCAGCCCCATGGAGGTGGCACTGCAGCGGTGGTGCGGGCTGGCTCGGGCCAGCAGCTCCAGCCTCCGGGGGCGCAGCCGGGCCTGGATGGCCCAGATGGGGGGCTGGTAGCCCTGCAGGTAGGGGTCCTCGTCAATGCTCTCAATGGTGGAGTCGGAGCTGTCTTCTGTGCTGGGCACTGACCGCTTGCACACGGGGCAGGAGCGCTGGGCAGCCTGGGAAAACCAGGGGTCGATGCACTTGCAGTGATAGATGTGGGAGCAGGGCAGGATCTTGAGCTGCTCACCCTCCTCATACTCGTCCAGGCAGATGGCGCATGTGTCGTTGAGCCGCGTGAAGGTGCGGACCTGGGGCTTCCGGCAGGCTGGCATCTTGGCCACCGCAGGCCCGCGGGCCCACCAGGACCTCAGGCAGTTCCCCAGGTATCGCAAGACGAGAAAGGTGGATGTAAGCAGGGCCAGGGCGCAGCCCAGGACCCAGGAGACGGCCAGCACGGGGCGGCAGTCCAGGTCGGGGCATGGCGGGTAGTTGGGCAACAGGAGGACGTGGGCGGACTTGTCGCAGCACACGATGAGCTGCAGGTCCTGTGAGGTGGCCTCGCCCACGAACACCGCGGGGATGGAGATCTGGCGCCGCAGGTCCTCGTAGACGTGTGCCATGCGCACCAGGTCATCCGAGAGAACGTTGTGCACGATGGCGGCCTTGAAGCCGGCCCGCTGGGCGTGCAGCACCTTCAGGTCAAATGTGCAGTCGTAGCGGCGGATGAGGACGATGGCGCCCAGGGAGCCGTTGCCCCCCGGCTGCGGGCCCTCGATGGGGTGGCATGCATTAGCCGGCTTGGCCTCCATCAGGTAGCCCCGCACACCCTCGGGGGCCAGGGGCACCCCGAACATGGCTGGCAAATCTTCAAAGTCCACAATGCTGGAGTTCCCGTCTAGCACGGCCCGCACCAGCGCCTGTGAGGGCACCAGCAGCTCCCACAGGATCAGTGCGGCCCGAACCGCCCCCGGGGCCAGGGCCATCTGCTGCCGCCCCATGGCCACCCGAGCTCCCCCTCCCCCTCCTGCTTTGGTTTGAGCCTTGGTCCCACCGGGGATGGCAGATGGGAGGCCTTTGGGCATCCGAAGGGCCTCCCAGGGGCCGTGGCCAGGATGGAATGGAGGTGAGCTTCGAGGGGAGGCTCAGAGGCAGGTAAGCAGAGCAGCTGGGACCTGGGTGGCCCTAGATGGAAACTGCGTCTGGGAGCAGGCACGTTTGCATTGTGTCTCTGAAGGCAGGTCCCAGCAGGAACTGACCTACCAGGGTGGCCTTGCTGGCAGATGATGCTGAGGCCAGGAGTCCCCAGGATTCTAGATGCGCCCACCCTCTGTGACATCATCCAGTTACATTCTACCCCCGGAGGCCTAGCCGCCTGGGCCTGCGGCCAAGACAGAATTCCTAGGTCTCTGACCCGGGGCTTGGCAGCCTCTATAAAAGAAGTCTCAGAGCATCCACAGCTCCTCAGCTCCCTCAGGCCTTACGTGGGCTTGGGGCCCTGAGTGGCGTGGAGCCAGGACTCACACAGTCTACGAGCATCATCTCCTTGTGCCTCTCAGCGACCCAACAAGGGAAGTGCCACTGTTACCCGCTTTTGAGATTCCTTGAAGGACCCGGAATTTTTCAGGGCCCTTCTCATGACTCAGGTGTGAGTTCACATGCACTTGGAGTCTAACTGGGCTTGGTCTGAGGGACCGGAGAGTGCCAAGGGCAGGGTGGGGCTGGCAGGGGTGGGGGGCCCAAGTCCTGACTGCCTGGTAGGCCCCCTACACTAGCTTTATTCTCTCACTTTAGAGGTTTCTCTCCAGCTGAGTCTCCAACCGTCCCCCATTCCTTTCAGAACTCTGGGCATCAGCCTCACATCCTCCCCACTTTTCATCCCCAAAATACCCCACCCTGGGTCCATCTCCTACCCAGAGAGGCCGCCTGCTAAAGGCTTGATTCCTGGCTCAGCCTCTGACAAGCTGTGTAGCACCAGGTAAAGCACAGAACCCCTCTGGACCCCAGTCCTGGTGCTATAAAGTGGGTAGAGTGCCGAGGCTCCGACCCGGCAGGACCGGCAGTGTGAGGATTACACGAGGCAATGCACGACTGCTGCTCCACACAGGGTCCAACCTGGGGCCCTCCCAGAACGGACCTGCCTCCGGCTCGCAGCCCTTCCGGTTTGTCGGCACGTGGCAGTAGGGTTTGTCTAAAGTCTCAGTCTGCTGGCCTCTCCCAGGCTCTAAACTCTCCCGTGGCTCCCCACTGCCCTCCAGATGAAGCCCACCCTCTTCCCTGCAGCCCCCCGTGGTCGAGCCCCTGCCGGTCTCGAACACCTGCATGCTTCCCGGTGCTGCAGCCGCATCGTGACTTGTTGACCTCTAGAAATTTACAAATGCTCTGCCCTCTGCCGGGAGAAGAACTCTCTGTCACCTGCATTTTGCCAGGTTGACTACTTATCCTTCATGGTGTTTTCCGTCAGTGGTACCTCTGACAGTGGCCCTCAGCCAGTGTCGGAGGAGAGAGACTGAGAGAAGACCACCTGGCAACAGAGGCAGAGGTCGGAAGGATGCTCGGACAAGTCGAGGGGCGCCCAGGGTGCCGGCCATCACCAGAGACCGGGAGAGGGGCGGGGACAGGTCCTCCCTCTGAGTCCCCGAGAAGGAACCCACTCTGCTGAGATCTTGATTCTGGACCCCCCTGCCTCCAGAACGGTGAGGGAGTACATCTCTGTCATTTTAGGTCCCCGGGTTGTGAAGCTTCATTAGGGCAGGTGTAGGAAGTGAAAACACACTTTCCCAGGGTCTGCATCTGGGTGAGGCCAGCCAAAGGCCAGACTCACCACGGTGAGACCAGAGGGTGAGAAAGGATGCATTTGATGTAAGGGGGCAGAACAGCCCAGAAAATTAACACCCCTGAACCACAACGACTGATGGGAGTGGGCACATACCCAGTCTGTATTGCCCCTCAAATGAGGTAACTGGTGTGCAAGTCCCTCACCTCCTCCTAGAGGTCCCCAGTGGATTGAGCTCCTGCTGTCCACCCCCGAAACCTACCTGATGGTGCTTCCTTCACCGACTGCCTCCCCTTTCCCGTCTCCCTTTCCCCACGCCCCTCCCAGAGTTTTCTGAGATCACGCCAAAATGAATAGTTTGCATTCAAACCCCTGTCTCAGTGTCTGAATCTGGGGAACACAAACAAAGATGCTGCCTGAGAACACAAGAATGCACAGGAGAGCAGCAAAGAGAGACCCAGGCCCTACAAACAGCATTCGAGCACCTGGATCTGGCTGAGCCCTAGGCCAAAAGCCCCCCAAGCCCTTGAGATATGAACAAATACATCCCTCTTTCTGCCCAAGAAAGGGTTTCTATCCCCACACCACGGATCCCCCAGGGGACAGGGGGGCTTCCAGAATCTCACAGAAAAGAAACTGAAACAATTACAAGTTTTTCCTTCTCTGCTCTGCACCCATCTCTCTCTCCAAACGTTGCTAGCATTACCCCCTTCAGTAATGCTGAGGGGGAACGTCCCAGAGATATCTACCTCCAGTGACCCTTCGACACAGAACCCGTAGCAGGTGGGGCAATGGGACGCGTCTTGTCTTCCCTGCAGTTTCCCCAGAATTCAATCACATCTCCTTCCTTCCTCAAGCACATCCCCTGCCTATTCACGGGCAGGTGTGCGGCACACACACACCGCAGCACTGAGCCTGAAGACCAGTCTTGCCTGCCCCAGGCGCTGGGCCTGCGAGGAATGGGAGGTCTGCAGGGGCCTGTGATGCACTCACTGCCGGCACCGAGGCCCAAGCCGGCCTCCGTCTGCAAGTCCTAGGCGTCTCTAACTCTGTTTTGTGATGAGTCCCCGACGCCACGTGTCCCCACACCTCCCTTCCCTGTCTCTGTCAGGGCCTCTTTTCATCTTTCCCTCTTTTGTTTCTGTCTGTTCCTGCCTCTCTCTTAAGTTTCTGTTTCAGTCTTCCGATGCCTCTGTCTCTGTGTCTCTGTTGCTCTCTGACCCCTGTCCAAGCGCCACGGCTAAGAGGTGGAGGGACCACCTCCTCTGCCCCAGGCCTCCCAAGCGGCCCGCTCCACCGGCTGTGTGCCAGCCTGGTCCCCACGGGGGCAGACGTCCAGCTGCAAATTAACGGGCCACTGTCCGAGGTCGGACTGCTTCATTTGTCTTCCCGTCTTCTCTGCTCCAAGTGGAGGAAAGAGACACTTCCACGGTGTCCCAGGAAAGGATTTCAGGGACACACGTGTAGGAAGATTTTAAGCGATAGTGGCAAGATTTATTAGAGTTCCGATGGCCCTAAAAAGGCTGTTGCACTCGACGAGGGGCTTCCCCAGCGGCTCCAGTGACAGAAGCTGGCTGGCACAGTCCACCTGCCCCTAGGTACATCACGCCCAGTGCCACCTCCACAGCTAGGTGGGTTAGCCCCGTCTTGCTGGCTGCAAGAGAAGTCCAGCTTCTGCAGCTTCCAGCCATCGTCTCTGCCCACCAGGCCCAGGAGGGCCAGGGCCTGGAGCCGCGGTGCCATCACCCTGCCACCCAAGGCTCTGGTAGCCCAGCACAGTAGCCTGGCTGCATGACGGCCAGCATGGATGCCAGAAAGAGGCTGGGGCCTGTGCTAAGCTTGCCTAGAATTCCTTGGGCTTGAGAGAGAGCAGGCTTTCTTTCAAATGATCCAGTCTCTTCCCTGGCTTTTCCTGGGCTTGTGTCTTTATCCTAGCTGGTGTTTTTTCCCAGATATTCTGAGGTCTGCCTTCTCCCCTGATTTTAAAATTTTATTTATGTACTTTTAGACAGAGGGGAAGGGAAGGGGAAAGAGAGGGAGAGAAACATCAGTGTGTGGTTGCACTCGTGTACCCCCTACTAGGGACCTGACCTGCAACCTAGGCATGTGCCCTGACTGGGAATCGAACCAGTGACCCTCTGGTTCACAGGCCTGTGCTCAATCCACTGAGCTACACCAGCCAGGGCTTCCTCCCTTTAATGGCCGCCATCTTGGCTGCTTCGGTGCCTGCACCCAGTGGAAGGATGTCCCCCTGCACCCTCTTCTCCCTCCCCGCTTAGGGGGGTGGACTCCGGGGTGACTGCAAATCTTAATCAGACTTAATCAGCTATCTGCTTCTGATTGGTTTGCTCCCTCCCTTTTGGTTAACATCTAACTAACTGCCGACTGCAACAGAAGGCCCTGGCTTTTACGTGGGCATAATTAAATTTACGGAGGCGGAAACAGCGCTGGAGAGAGGGCTCTGTCTGTGCAGGACGAAGCGCCAGGCACCGGGTCCTCATTGGTGGCCCACACGACACCCCTGGCCTTACGGAGGTTGCGTTTTAGCTAAGAGAAGGGGAGACAGCCAACTAACAAACTGGATTAACGAAGGAACCAACAACCGTCAGATGGAACAATGTCTGTGTGTGAAGGGCTGTGAAGGAAACTGAGCAGGCGTTGTGGCAGAGAGGGCCACCTTCACGGGGGCACTCAAGGGAGGTCTCCCCAAGGCAGGGGCATTTGAAGGGAAGCCTGAAATGAGGGAAGACCATCCCTTCCAGAACACACCTCATTCTTGGGGTGCCACCTGGGCACTTGGGATTTGTTGCCTGATTTCATTTTATTTCTTTGTTCATCAAATATTCTTTAGCACCTACTGTGTGCCAGGCTCTGGACTGGGCACTGGGGACCCAGAAGTAACAAAGAGAAGGAAGAGGAAGGTAAAGAGAAGAAGGAGGAGGTAGAGGAGGGGGAGGGGCAGGGAGAGAGGGTGGAGGAAGAGAACAAGAGGGGGAGTAAGAAGGGGGAAGAGCAGGAACCGGAGCTGGAGAAGAAGGAAGAGAAGGGAGAAGAGGAGGAGAACAGGAGGAGAGGGAGGAGGGGGAGGAGAGGGAGGGGGAGGGGAGGAGGGGAGGAGGGGGAGGAGGGGTAGAGGAGAGGGGATGAAGAAGAAGGAAGCCTGAGACAGGGACGATGAATGGCTGGAACAGAGGGTGATGGGGAAGTCCTCTGACGGGGTTTGGCATCTGGCATTTCCACGGAGATGGGAAGGGTGAAGAGGAGTGGTCAGAAGGAGACGGGGTGGGGAACAGCATGGCCGCCCGTGTCGGGTGTGTCTGAGGAGGAGCAGGAGGACACTGTGGCTGTGTGGACGGCAGGGAATGAAGAGGTAACCAGCTGGACGGTGGAGGGTCTTGTAGACCACGATAAACAGTCCGCATGTTATTGTAAGTGCAACACAGCACCTGGTTGATCTGGGTTCCCTGCAGGCAGCCTGAAGACAAGGACTTGGGTACAACCAGCTCCCATGGGCATTTATCTTAGGAGGGAGTAGGGGAGGGAGAAAGGGAAGGGGAGGAGCC